CAACACACTGTACAAAACTGATAGAAGTGTGTAAGACTAGCCTAGGGGGAATGTAAGCCATTGTGATGCTAGGTTGTATTTTACATGTCAGGATATTTCAGGAGAGTGGGGTGAATGACCCTTGCTGAAAACTCCAGCCGCCCAGGGACTGGCCAGTAATTATCTAGGGGATTCACGGTTCTGATGACGGGAGAAAATGGTCATGTCAAATTCTACCTTGCAATAGGCAACTGATTGTAACATTGACTGGCAATAGAATATGACACTGTACATACATATGGGAGCTTAATCTTAAATGATCACACCTTCATCACAATTGTATGTTCTTGCCCATATGTGCTAAATGCAGTAGTTATTCTACATGTATAATCATATCAAAGAGTTACCTACAGTGACAATAGTGAACAGGGGAAGAGACAAAACAGTTAACGTGATGCACACTAAATGACTAAGTATATAAAAATCTATGCTATTATGTATTATGGTTATGTAAACAGTTAATCTTATAATATAAATCTATGCTATTATTTAATGTTCCAGGAATATATCCTTGTTGTTTTGGACATTTCAAGGCCTGAAACTTAACACCAGCGGTGTCCAAGTTGAGTGACCAGGAGTAGAACCCTTTGGCCCAGAAGCTGGGTCACTAACCACTGTGCATCATTATTTGGATTTGCTGTTGTAGATTTGGATCAATGGATAGAAAATGTAACTAGGTCTCTGTATCAGGTATCTGGGGAAACCCTGGAGATATGCACTAAAATCAATAACGGTTATAGCCGCTTACGCTTCAGGGTCCATCCAGTAACAACTCTGATAGGAGGGCTGGGATTGTAGCCGCTTACGTTTGAGGGGCAATCCAGTAACAATTCTGAAAGGAGGGCTATTGTTAGGGTCAATCCAGTAACAACACTGAAAGGAGGGCTAGGGTTAGGATTAGGGCCAATCCAGTAACAACTCTGAAGGGGGGCTGGGGTTATAGACACTTATGCTTCATGGTCCATCCAGTAACAACTCTGAAAGGAGGGCTAGGGTTAGGGCCAATCCAGTAACAACCCTGAAAGGAGGGCTGGGGTTATAGCTGCTTTAATATGACTTAGGGTCAATCCATTAACACCACTGAAAGGAGGGCTGGGGCTATAAAGCCGCTTAGGGTCAATCCAGTAACAACAATGAGAAAATGGCTGGGGTTGGGAAGAAGGTGTTGTTTTCATCTATATCTACATAATCATGTAACAGAACCATTACATCAAGGAGGTTTCAATCAAGTTCTTGCCACGTTCTGAAATTAATTTATCTTCAAAATCAAATAACAAGTCACATCAATCTGACATACTGACTTCTGAAGGAACACATTCACACAAAACCTATGTTGTATGGTTAGACAAGAACCATTGCCTTAATTGTTATCATATTTTCTTCCCCTCCCTGCGGAATGGTATATCCCGATTTTTGAAGAGGAATGCACCACTGGGTCAGCAGGTCAGGGCTGTCCTCTGCCATATAAGGGATGTCTTGCCATATATGGGATAACCAGCCATATGGACACTTGATGCCTGAAAGTAGTCAACATCTCAGTGTGATTGGGTCACTTGGAGGCCAGAATCTTCCCTCCCCTGTAGCAATAATGGATGAGCCCTGAAACAGTACACATGAACGAGTATTATGGTAGAGTAAAAAAAATAAAAATGGTAATTTTTCATGAATTTCTAACTAACCAAATTTTCAGAGAAAAGCCATGGCAATCTCATGACAAAATGTACCCCAAATCTTCCAAAACCAATTAATCTTAATTAACAGAGTATTTTTTCTACCTCTTCCATATCATTCCAAACCCAAATTATTTCAGTCTATATAATATGTAACACTACAACAGTCAACCATCATGGTATCATGGCCCTTTTCATCATTGTTGCATTGCCACATTTGTTTTTAAAATATCAGGTTTCAAATAATTTTGCCAACAATGACAACATTTATCAGCTAATGCACAGTGAAATGACCCTGAAGATTCAGATTGGTAAGAAACATCCCAAATTGGCAGCCAGACGGTGACCCAGGGTCGGACATCGCTGTAAACATGAGGCCAACGTGCTCAAGGACAAATATGGAGCAATGACCTTGTAAGGGGTCAGGCTTCCCCCTACCCAAATATGGAGACATTAAGCTCATCATTGGGTGGAACAATCCATGTTAGAAAAGGGGTGTCTTCATTTTGCCTCAACCTCTGTAGTTTTAATATGAGAAAACAGGACTGGAATATTTGTTCAACTAGTAGCTATTAGATGCAATAGTTATAGATAAATGTGGTTCGTAAGAACCTAAAACAATTTCATTTTTCAGGAAATTTAAGTTCAGGAAAATTAATGTTGATGCACCAGAAAACTAAATTCTCTGATTCTCTTGTATCATTATACCCAAGGTTTTCATCTGACAGCAACCTCCTTGTTATAAAGTTATGCCAGGAAAGAAGATACTACTTTGAAATACCAGTAGCCATGTTAGACGTGTGTACTAACACTTGGCTTTTGTGTGTTTTTCCTAGTTCATGTTATCAGTGTGATTTGCCCATAACAGATCACTTCACAAACCTGTGTTAGGAGGCAGACTGGAGAAGGAATGTGGTGGTCAACACTACAGCAACTGACAGTGTGTTAACAGGTGTGGGACAGAGAAGGGTGCAGAGAGGACAGTTTTCAGGCCAAAAATGGCTCAAAATACACATTGTATTACAACAAAGTACATAATACCAGCAGCCATGTAAAATAAAACTGTAAGGAAGTAGAGAATATCAATTCTGATATACATGTACCAATCACAGAGGGAAAGAGAAAATAGGAGGGACGGAGATAAATTGACTGGTCCCCAGCTGAAGACCATCCCCACTGCACTAATGATCCATCCCCAAAAGTGAACCATAGGGCATTAATGAGCAATCCCCAGAAGTCAGTTGACAGAGAGTGTCTGATGTAAATGTCACATATAAGGTCCTCCCACAGACTTATCTGTCAAGGTCATTTCTGTCTGATATCTTACAAACAGGTGGATCGAGTCAAGGTTTAAGGAAATAAAGAGACATTGGAAGATGCACCATGACGGCATGAGTTTCCTTTACAATCAAGCATTGAAGCATTAGGTCAGGAGGAAACCACCCACTTGTCTGGCAACAAAACCACTCAAAAACGTTGCTGACTCCAAATTTTAAGGACTTCTAAAAACAAAATGGGACTCACCTAACAAGTTATTGACTTCAATTGGCCTCAACAGGTATGGCAAATGTATAAAACAGAAAACAGATGCGCCACAAGGATAATTAGTACCGCAGATACTAATTAGTTCTGTAATTAATATTCTGCCAGCAAGGAACACAGATGCATAGTAGTAATTATTACGGTAATTATAAGGCACTAGCAGGGTTTTTCTGTGATAAAAATCTGTAATGTCCTTCCAACTGGAACAATTTAGTTAGTTCATTGGCTGTCATCACAACCCACATTCTGCAAGAAAAAAATCTGTGGAACCAGATGCAGAGGGAGGCAATACTGGAGATCTGGAGACAAGATGGACTGGACAGGCAGGTAACTAGATGGAGAAAGCTGACGCTGGAAACAATGATAGTCCCCAACCCTCAAGGTTAGAATGGGACAAGGTTAAGGTGTGTTTGTGTTAGTAAGATACAAGTTCACCAAGATAGAATATGTTATCAGCAGATAAAAAAAAGCCAAAGTTTGGAAAGAGAAAGGCACTTGGTAAAGGCACTTTATATGGCTTTCTTTCAACAATGATAGTTCCCAACCCTCAAGATTATGATGGGACAAGGTTTTAAGGTGCGTTTGTGTTAAATGCTAGGCGTAAAATGGGATAGAAAGCGGTGGAAGGAGAGGGATGGGTTCCACCTTCCAAAACCTTCTTGCCTAGACACAGTGGATTAAAACCCCACTGCCCCTACAACCTAAAAAGGCTATGGAACTACTTTTACCTTTGATTACCTTTTTACTGGCAAACCTGGAATTGACTTCTCACTGCCCAAGGTCAAAATGGCTGACTTGAAGTTGAACTTGACAGTGTTCCATGATTGGATAATATGATCCCGATCATTTATTCATGGGAAGAACAATGGATCCAATTTGCAATTGCAGATGGAAGCGAGTGTCCTGAAAGGTCCATTAGCTGCCTGTCAGAACAGATTTGGGCAGACAATATTTACACAGACACAGAAACGTGTGGACTTATATTATAGTAAGCCTGGATTCATCATGCAAAATGAGATCTGACATGCTTTATTAACTTGATGAATTTATTCATAGTTATTTTCGACTGAATAATCCTAAATTTTGTAAAGGAAGACAGGATGTTGTTCACATAACTGTAAAAATAAGCATATTCTTTATGTAAAACTAAGATTTCTTGTTTTTGATTGTATAGTCCTAAATTCTGTAAAGGAAAATAGGATGTTGTGCACAGAGACACTGTAAAAACATAATATTGTTATGTAATAAGAAGAGTTCTTGTTTCAGATTCAATAATTCTAAATTCTGTCAAAACCACCATACTCTTATCTAATACATGTACTAGGTAATATTAAGGCCACACCAATTTAATTTGTTGGTTCTCGGATTCGCCTCTTCGTTTTTTCTGATTTGCAAAAAAAAAATTTGATTCTGGTCCTGAATCAACTGAAAAATGCTCATATTTTGCCTCCAACAGTTGAGGAAAGTCCTTTTCTTCCTAGTTGTTACAGTTTTCCCATCTATCATTGCAGTGGTTTGATTAAAAGTTCAAAATTCAATGTTTAAATTTTAACCCAGCCTTTTGTGTTGACTTCATGGCTCATTCCGTAGCATTTAAGCCTATAATAGGATGCCTAGACCTGTTTTTATTTTTATTTTTTTTCGCCCTGTCGCTTCATATTTTTTCTGAAAAAATCCGAGAACCAACAAATTAAATTGGTGTGGCCTAAGCAATATTAAACAAAGGTTAGTGATACTCAGACACTATTGAGTCACAAGTAAATTGTATTATTTTGTCTACCGAGTCTTTGTTTCTGCCCTTCTGTAGCACCTTGTATTCATAAGAAGCCGTGTACATATTTTCTATTTCAATGTTCTGATCCAAATATAAAAAAGCTTCAAAATATGATCCACACTTTATAGCCATTCAACAAGCAAGACTGTCTGTGTTTTTGCTATGAAGTGTAAGATTAGATGGAGTAATACTGAATGGAGTGAAATCTGATTTAAAATGACAAAAGAAATGGGATACCAAAGTGATGATTGTTGAGTTGGACTGATTTATTCAGCCATCTATCCAAAAACACTGCAGTCATCCTTCAGCAAGAGAAGCGATTGTGTTACCCATAAATACACAGAACCAAACAAACAAGCTGAACACCCTCTAGTACCTTGATCTGTGTGATTTTTAAGCCTCCCAGGTATGGTGATGAAAATTTCAGAACTGAATGAGGATGGTGGATGCCATTTGAAAGCTTTTTCTAGAAGCTGAACTTTCTAGTCATGTGGAACAGTTCAATCCTTTATATTATAATATATTCAAAGTTGAGGTTGAACAGAACAAGATGATGTAGTAAACGTTGCCTGGATGAACTGGCAATGGTTGACCATCTCTGTACCCCTCAGCTTCAGGGGGGGGTCCTCTAGCACAGGGGGGTTACTGGAACTGCTGCCTGGCCTGGTGTAGATGTGCGACCCCCACAGTCCAGGCTGTGCACCACTGCCTGTACGTCTGTCCCCCCTGCTCCAGCCATGGTGCCAGGTGCTGGGCTGGCTGGTCCCACCTGTGGACATAAAGACACACAGTCAGGGGGTGCAGAGTTGAGGGAGGTGATGTGTGGATGTGTGCAGTGGGTAATGTACCTCTTAATCTCCAAGCAGATCCTAGGGTGGCAAAAGACAGTATCAAATTGGCCAGGCAGTATCTATTTGCTAGAGAGGGCCCTTGGGTGGCGTATGGACCCTCTCTGGCGAATGGAGACTGCCTGGCCAATTTGATACTGTCCACAGCGCCAACTGCTGGACAAGTTGATCCCACATACCTGTATTCGTGTTCTGTGTAATGTACATGTACCGGTATATGATGCAAGACATCACACTTTTTGCACTTTTCCACCAAATTTAGGGCATCAAAAGCGACACCGTGACTCACCATGCATCCTTGAAGTCCCTGACCCTGAGGGCGCGACCCATGACCTGCTGGGTCTTGTCCATCCTGACCTCCAGCTGTGGCAGGAGTCGCTCTAACATGGACCTGTCCGCCCTCGCCACCTCTTCACACAGGGCTGTGGAACACAGTAACAACCAATGAAAGAAATTCAATGAAAAACCTTAATTACAAGCTAAGTTGGGGTCGTGTGTTGTAATGGCAGAGCGTTTGGCTTGGAACCAAGAGGTCCCGGGTTTGAACCCTGCCGTGCCACTGATCTTGTGCCCTTGGGAAAGGCACTTTACATGACTGTCCTGGATGGAGGCCTAGCGAACCCCATCTCATATTAGCCACAAAAAGGCAGCAGAATCTTTAGCTAGTTGAAGGCGGCTGCCTAAAATGAAAGAAGTTTACTAGGAAACAATATAATCTATTTGACTAAATTTCTTCTGCACATTTCTTGCTAAAAACTTTGACAACTTCAACTTCAAAAACTGTTGCTCTTCCAAGATCACATGACCTACCGGCTGCCCTCTGCAGCCCGCCTGCCTGCCTGACCCCCTGCAGCTCCTCCATCAGCTGGTCATGGGACTGCAGCAGGGTGGCCATCGCAGCAATGTCCACCTTCATTTGGATTGCCTGTACAAAAAGGGCATTTAAAATTTTGATACTCACTCTCACTCTCTCCCATAGCTTTGTTGCACACCAGACACATTACTTGATAAGTGTTGGGGTTCTTTTTGGTGTGCTTTGGGCTCTGGCCAAATTCTTTTGGACATTTCAAGAACACACATGCGTTCTCTCAGAGTCCTAAGTCCTATCAGTTGGAATGATTGGATTATGGCGGCTAGCTATATTAATTATTATTAATATTATCAGACTGAACGACCTGCAGATTGGAAGAAGTACATTATGAGCTTACTTGTGGTAGTAAGCACTCAGCTGCCTTGTATGGTTTACAGTTGACATCTTCTGCAACCTTCCTGAGGCTGGTGCCCTCCGCTGTGCCTGTCTCCTGGTCTACTGCGTACAGCGACAGGTCTCGGACCTGGGTCAGGCCTGGCTGGTCCAGCAGGGCCGGCTTCAGGGCGGAAAGTTTCAGAGGCAGGAGGGACTCCACTTCCTGTTTCACAGCTCCCTTCAGCTGCAGGGTGTTAGCCTGGACCTGCAAAATTTTACATCGTGAAGATTATTAATATTGGTGACATAATAAGTTTTGGGCTGATATCATCTGGAAGTTTACCCCAAATTTGATGCAAAGTTTTGTGATCTCAACATCTTTCATAGTCAACAGCTAAATCTTACACATGATGCCCCTAGCAATGATGTGAATGCAATCTTCAGACTCATATGAGTCATAGTCATAGCTACTTTTCATAGAGGGTACCGGTATCAACTTCTTACTAGGGAATGTCATTATTCAATTTATTGCCAACAATGGTCAAAAGAGTTTCATTTTTAGTCTTAGTTTGACTTGAATTCAATTTCTTTTCTATTTCACGGAAAAAGTCAATACCAATGAGTTTTGTATGCCACTGGTACCTGTGACTCATGGATGCAGAGCTGCCGTTGCATGAACTGCTGCCACTCCCTCTGGAGAGTCACCAGCCGTGGTTTGGAGTCAGAGTTTTGTTTTGTCAGCACCCTGATCAGGTCCTGTTTCCGCTCTACCGTCGTCTGGAAGTCCTGAATGCGGCCGTGCTTCTCCTCCAGGGCTTTTTTCTCTGTGCTCCTCCTTCGGGCCGAAGTTTCCAGCTCCCCTGCTGACTCCTGGAGGCACTGCAGGGCGGCCTGAGCCCCAGATAGCTCCAGCTCTACCCCCAGCAGGGATTTTGTCAGCTCTATGACTCCTGCTTGCAGCATCTTCCTGGATAAGATCTTCTCAAGCCTTGCTTTGGCTTCATCCAAAGCCTGTCTCTCCTTCCAGACTGCATTCAGGCTCTGCTCTGTCCGGATAAACTGGTGGAAGTGTGACACCTGAGCCTCCTGGAGCAACTGTTGGACGCCTTTCACGACGTTTGCGCCACTGGAAACATCACGGAACTGCCCCGGGCCTACATAATCGAAGCTGAGTTGCTCCACTTCGTTCTTGACGTCCACTCTCGCTGTCACGTCTCTCAGATGGAAGGTGGCGTCTTGGGTGATGAGTCCCAGGGAGTGCAGGACGTGGTTTACGGGATGCTCACGAGTAACGTTCTCCACGACAGTCCACAGCTGCTCTTTACGCCGCGACAGATGGCCCTTGTCTACCCCAAACTGCCCCTGCAGAATGCCTGTCAGAAACCCCTGAAGCTCTTTCGTGCATAGGCGTACGTCATGCGTACAGGCAGACTCCACCGCTCCACTGGTGGTCCCGTCTCCTGTTTCTTGGCTGTAGGCTGGTTTGTCGTCAATCGGGCGACTTGACACCTTCTGGAACCGTTCGACAAGTTGTTGGACACGAGCAGTGTACTCTTTATACTGAGCACCCTGCGCCTCACACTGTTGGGAGTAGGCATGAAGCAAGGCTTTACTGTGGCGAAGCTCTTTCGTTTGCGAGCAAGTCTGGGTTTGAAACTGTTCTGCTTCTGACATCTCCTTCTCCAGCCTGTTGATTTCAGTCTGCAGTGTTGCAGCATCCCTCCTTTCCTGCGCTATCTGAGATTGCAGCCTCTCGTAGTGATCTTGTAAACTTGCTTCCTCTTGCGAGTACTTTTCCTTCCCCTTGTACCGCACCTTGTATGAGCCTCCCCTGCTTTCCATCTTGGCATCAAGAAAGAGGTTTCCTCTCACTTTCCTCACCGTTTCTGCCGACTTCACGAACTTGGTGACGAAGTTCCACAGTTCCAGCATCCTCCATCCACTGCACATCTGCTGCAGTTCCGCTGTCGGTGGCATGGCGGCGCTGCTGAGATAGCCTTGTGAGACGAACTGCATCTCATCTTCTGCCCACTCCCGAATGCAGCGCGCCATTTCCTCCGTGGAACTCATGTTACTCACTTGTTAGACGCTATTTTATAAATCTAGAATATATTCACAATCGTCCGTGGCAAGGACAGCTCAAGACGAAGGAAAATGAAATAGAAAACGGAAAAGAAGCGAAGAACTCTCCACACACCCGCTCAAACTTTCCGCCATTTTATACCGGAAGTGGCCAGTGCGCGTGCGTAATACCTGCCATCCAGACGGAGGCTTTCCGTAATGGCCGCAACCACTTGTTTGACATTTTTGTACTGAACTCGCGTTTGGGCATGTTTTCTTCCCTTTCTTGGGGGTGATCCCGCCGATTTTCAGCCAGAGAGCTAGCCATGGAACCCACCTACCCTTCGTAGCAGGTAAGAGGTCCAGTTTTGCCCCAGAATTTGTAAAAACGACGTTGCATCTTTGGTCGCCAACAGGGTTACCAAAAAATACTTGAATAAGATTTTGACATGTCGATAAAGTAATGAAAATTTAATGTCAAATAGTTTGTACTACTAGTAATCACTTAAACCCCGATATCACGAGGTGGAAGTATACCGTACGGGTTGCTAGATTCTTTGCTAATTGCTGTGTTGACGTTACGGACAGAATTTTGCTGTTCCGTCGTCTGTTGTGTTCGCCGGGGCCGAAGGCTTCCAAAATGGCAAACAGTTGCCATGGAAACGGCCTGGCCTCTGCCTTTTCCAGCCCGAAATCACAGCGACTAAGACCATGGGTCATGTTCTCGGGAGTTGTAGAGGATATTTTATTACTTTAGTGGAGGAAAGACGTTTATTACTTTATTGTTTGAATTGTACATGATTTGATATAATACATACAAGTGTATAAGTTGGAAAATCATCCAGCATAAGATTAAGGGTGGCCAGCTTTAATATCAATAAGTTAACGTTATGCAGTTTTAAGAATAAAACTTTTTCTTTGAAAGGAAGAAGGAAAACAAAGGAAAGAAAGATCACCTGGAGCCAAAGGGTACTTAAAAACAGCTGAGCAAACATTCCAGGTTGTAATTTACATGGAAGCACTGTGTACCTTATTTAAACTTAAACTTGAGATTTAACGTTATATATCTGAGACTGTGGTAGAAATATTTCTCTAATAAACACATAAACATGGCTGTAATGACTATGAAAGTAAATGTGATATTTTGGCAACAGGTCAATGCATGTTTGTTTACAATTAGATTGACCAATTGACCTGGATTCAGTAAGAACATGTACTTCTATTTACCTTTACTAGATTCCACTTCAAAATTCCACAGATAGAGCACATGAGGTTCAGTGTTGGCAACACAGAATTGTTTGAAAATTTGTCCTTGCAAAGACTATTTTGTGGAACTTTCTATTAAATGGAACTTCTTGTAACATCAAAAGCCATGAAGACCTCAATAGAAAGTTAAAATAAACAACACCTGGAAACATTAGATAGTGATTGGCTTTGGTGTTTGACAATGAAAAGGCTATTCTTTGAGTGTCTGAGTTGGACATTAACCTGATTTTCTCCTACCTAGCAACTAGGCACTTTTCACAATTCAACTGTGTATCCGGTTTCCTTTGAAAAGTGGCTGGTTGCTTAAATCTTTAAAAAGCTACTTGTGAAGAGCCATGGTTATGTCATTTCCTATTCACGGGAGTAGGTCAGGTCATTGTGTATTGAGGTGTGGACTTTTACGGGCAGACTTTTTTTTGTCTGATGAAAAGACACTTCCCTTGATGTTTTGTGTGTTGGATACTAGTACTTGTTAATTGATTTTTTTTCTCTTGTGATATTGAATCTTTGTATGCCCTCTTGAGTAGCAGCTCAGCAAACCAGTCACTTCCTGATAGCCTGGATAAGGCTGAGTTGAAAGACTATGTTATGAATCAGTAAGTAGTACTAGCAACTCCAAGTACAGAATTAGTGTGTTACTAGTACATACTCACTGTAGTGGTTTACCAATACCAGTTATCATGATCATATTCACAATCACAGTCAGAATTCAAAGAAGAGCAGTAGGGCATGTTGAAAATAACTCTGTCAACAAAGTTTTTCTGACCTCTGATGAACTTCATACTGATTTATACCAAATTGATCACAATGCCAGGTATATGTTACTTTTGCAGTGTGTTTCTAGCAATTGACCAGAAATACCCGGTATTTCTGGTCAATTGCTAGAAACACACTGCAAAAAAACCCACTCTGCAGAAGTCTACAGTGAATTTCAGACTTTATGCTATGAATAAGTTCACGTTGTGCTCCCAGTTGGGAGTCCTGAGTTTCAGGTCAATTTATTGATCCAAAGTGACATACTGTACAGTACATTAAAGTTGAGAATTTACATAATCTTCTTACATTTTGTTTCTCACAATAACAGGTGATGATTAGCGAACTTGTGGAAAGAAATAAAAGTCAGACTCCTCTCAGCACCTGACCCTCCAGTCATGATGAGCGGGCGCCGTCGCAGGAAAGAGGAGGACAAACCGTTCTACGCGGTTCCACTCACCGACAAACCCACGCCGTCACAGATCATCAACGAAGCCAGACAGTCCGTCCGCACGCTCCGCACAAACCGACCGTTCACCCCGCGGGAGGGAGAGAGAAGACTGTTTGGTACCGACAGTGGGCGGCCCAAGGAGGCACGGCCGCCTTCTGCCTTCAGGTAAGGTCTTACTGACAGGTGGCACCTGCTGGGGTTGTGGTTCTCTGATATTTTTGAAGAAAAAGTGCTTACTAGAAATAACCTTTTGGCTTCCAAGTACAGTCCAACTTGTACAAGTGACCAGCTCTACATAAGGATCACCAGTGGCCAATCTGACCACTTTTCTTGTGGTCCCTTAGATGATTTCCCCTATTGACACAGTACTGGTTATATTGTGTGATGGGTGTTAGATATTTCAAGTTCCTGACTTTTCTTGTCTGCTTGTTTCCAGCCTTGGTTCTCGACATTTTGATGGCAGTGATTCAAGACCAACATCTTCTACAAAACTCTCACCTTTAGATCATGTAAGTATGGAATTCTGTTTCATTAATAGCAAATTTATTTTTTTAATATAACTTCTTGTCTAAATGTTGTCTAATCACAAACATTAGTGTATAAAACCATTATACATACATGTAAGTTTATAACAAAGGAATTACAGTTACTGTAGTAAGAAACCAAAAAAACATTATAGACATTACGTGTATTATTGGTCTGTTATGTTAGAATAGTTACGACTCAGAATCAAGGGTATTTAATAGTTAACAAGACAAATCTGCTATACAAGAATTTATCGACCCTCCATGCTGCAATGTCCTGATTGTGTCAGAGTTGATAAATGTTAGATGATAATTTAATCTTCGCTGCTTGCAGATGTTATAGAATTTATCATTCAAGTTATTCAATGGCTAGAAGGGAACCAAATTGACCTCTTCCTGTCATATTCAACCCATCAGTTTGACAAATTGATCTAATCAATCACCTGTTACCTTACAGACATTTTTTCCATTGTGTACAGCAGCTCTGTTACTTAGTATTGGTTCACAAATATCTAACCAGTACATTCGTTACAGTGATCATGAGCTAAAGCAAAAGCCAGGTGCCTATTCCTCTATTTTATTCTAAAAAGCCAAGTTAGTATGTTGAACTAACTGTGATATAAGATAGGTGGAATGTGATGCCAATCTTTAGTGCACTGAAATAGCCATTTGGCTACTAATTATCTATTGATTATGGAGTTAAAGATGGTTTGGCAATGTAGACTTTTATCTGGTTCTTCAGATTTTAGAATGCTCATGCATGGTGCATCTTTAGTTAGTGTCACTGACAGAAGTAGTGGATGCTACCTGAAACGTCTGACCGTTTCCAAAATCATATCCAGTTGCTTGGGTAACTGTTTTTTGGAGTAGCTCATGCATGTCTTTCGTTACTTTTGCAGAAACCAAAGCCAGTTCCTGACGATGCCCTTCCGTTGGTCCCCAAGCCCCCAGCCATAGACCTGGCCCGGCCACTGGCAGGCCGTTCTGTGGCTAGGCGCATGGTGAAGGTCGGGAGTCAGGATAACCTGGCTGACAGGGACCTGCGACAGGCTGTACTATCAGATGGTGAGTCCTGTTTACACTAATGAACAGAGAACTGTTTACAACTAGCAAAGTAAATGCATAATGTTTACCTTACCTTCGCATATGGTCTGCTCTGTTAACTCTTACAGATTCATTTATATTGTCAGACAGGAGTATAAATCCCTCCTGCTGTAAAATTGCAACATGATGTAATCCAACACTAGTTACCAACTTACCATGGTGACAGATGTCTGGTTCAGGTCATTGACCTTATTAATTTGTTTGGAGAAAAAGAAGTAGAAGAGCAAGAAGAAACAGAGCAAAAACAATTATGTTTGCCTTCTGCGAGGGTAAACATAATAACACGCTGCCTACTGAAAAGTCCTACGATTTTAATTATAAGTAAAAACGATCATGAAATGGTTATAATTTTTCTCCCGACTGTGTTTGACAGGTAAGCTCCCCAAACCCCCCCTGGAGAGAAGAGGTTCCCTGCCGCCCGCCCCCTCCCCCGTGGAGGGGGACGTCCCGGGCAGACGGGTGCACAGCGGGCCCAAGGAGAGAACCCCCGCCTCGTTCTACATCGAGCGGACAGAGGCGGAGGGGGCTGAAGCTCCACCGCGGGTCCGCAGTGCTGGCAGTGCTCGCAGCAGGAGGTCAGTGGGGAGGGTGTTCTTACAGTTTATTTCTTTCTGAAGAACAGGATAACATGTTGCTGTGAGTTTCCAGCTAGGTCTGTTCCACAGAAGAATGATGACTGGAAACTATGTGTGAAAAAACAGCAAGCCAGCAGGCATCTTAGCATACAATATCAGGATAAGTTTGACACTGTGAATCAGTTTATAGCCTATTACCTTGTCTGAGAAACATGTAATTTTTGTTGGAGTAGCTTGGATGATACTGTGATTGATAAAGTAAAAATGATATTTGTGGGTACATTGATTGATTTAAATTCTTTCTTTCCTTCCTTTTCTTCCTGGTGACAAAATATCAGCTAGGTATGAGTACTTGGTACCAAGAATTTGTCCAGTGATTTACCAACCTGATGAAACTATCCACAGAATGCATCTAAATCTTTGTTCTCTCTCTCTCCCCTGTCCCCATCAGGAGACCAGGTGATGAAGAGGCCGGCGGAGACGGGAGGACGGGGAGGGAGAGCGGGTACCACTCACAGCCATCCTCTGCTGAGAGGAAGGAGGCACGGTCGGGCAGCGGCGGCCGGCGTGATGATGAGACTCCGGAGGAGGCGCTGTTCTGGAACACGAGTGTCCTCCCCATCCTCACGGACATGGAGGTCCACTCTAAAGGTACAGCTCACTAATACAAGGAACATGTAGAGCCTAGGAAAAAAATGTTGTGTTTTTCCTGTTTCCCGACCGACCCTCGAAAAAACTGCCGACCCTAGCATGTTTTTTGGTGGACCCCTGTAAGGGGCATAAATTTTTTCGAGCTGGTCGACCTTTTCTAGCTTCATGATGTGATACGTAACGTTAAGTGATGAAACATTGTACAATCGGTTTTCCAACATTGACATTGAAAATACAAATGACTCTTTGAGATGTTGGTCATGAATCTTCTAGGGGCCTAACTAGTGAAGAGGCTGCTAGAAGCATGATGTAGTCAGGCAATCTTCTGCTATAGATATATCCATATCATACAAACATAGTAAGACTGACACTGACATGCTCGCTCTTCTCCACAGATAAGAAGCACCGTCTGCTGTGTGACCTGTGTGACCGTCTCTACACCACGTTAGACACGGCAGGGTTGTTGGGCCGTGCTGCCAAACGGCGCTCTGCCCTTCTCAAGACGCTTTACAAACTCATCGACATTGACGACCCCAGGGTCATGCTCAAGCTGGCAAGACTTATTTTAGCCGTAAGTCATCAAGATGTTCAGTTTTCAGCTCAAGGTTTCATCCTCATCTACAGATAAATACACTAAGGATGCTGAATGTAGTACAGTCAAATTTGGTCTGAACAGCCACTATAGAGACTGAGGAAAAATCTTTTCTTGCCCTCACAGCTGAAGGTGTCTGGTAAGAACCTGACGAACGTCTGTAAGTTGGTCTTCAAGATCAGCAAGGAAGAGAAGAACGACAACCTGTTTGTAGAGGCCAATATTCTAGGTAAGTGTCATATTTTTTTAAAGACTTCTTGTGTTGATCTCAATGAAAAGCATTCTACAGACCAATTTGAGTTTCTCATGTTCAAACGTTGAAAGGTTCAAACAAGCAAACAAACAAACATTTACAGAGATTGTTGCCAAGTAAAGAAGCTCCTTTATATACAACTATTAGTGTTTTATTCACATCCGACGTTTCGGTGACTGTCTGTCACCTTCCTCAGGACAATTCTGACTGGTTCACATTGCACTGCAGCACAGGTGTCGCTGCTATAGATGTATTCCCAAACAAACGTTAAATATTTTGAACGTCTGGTGACAGGTGAAGGTGACAAATGGTCACCGAAACGTCGACTGGAAATAAAACAGAGCGTAAAAAAGAGCTTCTTTACTCAGTGACTTACCAACCTGATGAAACTATTCACTGACTGTTGTTGTTGCTGTAGGTTTACTGGTGAGTGTGGTGCAGACAGCCGACCCTAACCAATCGTGTGAGGCATTGGTGTACTGCTGCGGAGCGCTGAAGTTCCTGTCAGGAAACGCGGCACTGATGAAGGAACTGAGCGCCATGAACTGTACTGAGGCTCTCGCCAAGCTGCTGTCCAGTGTTAACTCTATGGTAAGTACCTGTGCTAGCTTAATTTCATCTCAAGGGAATATGCTTTGGCTCTATAATGTGTGTATGCGTGTATATGCGTGTGTGTGTGTGTGTGTGTGTGTGTTTTGTATGTATGTATCTGTGTGTGTGTATGTATGTATCTGTGTGTGTGTCTGTCTGTGTGTGTATGTGTGTGTGTGTTTGTGTGTCTGTGTGTTTTGTCTGTGTGTGTGTGTGTGCCTATACATGTGTGTGGAAGTAACAAGTACTTGTTGGACTGTAATCTGATGAATACTTTACCACTCTTGCTTACAGAATGCAGATTCCTCCAGACCAAATGACCAGGCGGGACACTTGTTAGTTCAGGTGAGAGACCGTGAGACACCTTACATTTTCTTCCTCTTACTTGCCTACTGATACATGTTACTTTATACCTGATCTTGAAGAAATTAGCAGTGACCAATGAAAAGTTTTCAGTAATTTTTGTACATTCTGCCCCCCCCCCCCCCAGGTGACAGCAGTTCTGCGAAACATGGCGGACAGTTCCAGTAACCGTGACAAGTTCCTGACGCAGGGTGTGGTCAGGGAGCTCCTGTCTGTGATTGGCTCGTACTACTCAGACAGCGACCTCATGCTTAACTGCTCCAGAATACACAGGTAGGGTCAAGGTCAACAGGATACACAGAGATACATTTTAGTTTTTAAGGGTGAAAAATACATAGACCAAGACAATTTTGTCTTTACCAAATATCAAATATTACCTTTAACAAAATGATTTGATATGTAAGTTTACAAAAAGGATTGATAAGCAAGTAGACCTTGATGATCTTGGTTTCTATTGACCTTGATAGCAAGCCAATCTTTGCCCCCTAGCAGCTTCCTTTTGAATTGCCACTTTCTTTAAGTCATAGGTTTGTTAAGTAGTTTAAGGTATGCTACCTGATGGTGTGCTTTATAGGTTTGTTTGATTGTTCATGATCTTTTGAAGAAATATAACCTCAGTTCTAGTTTGAGGGTCATTTTGATATTTGCTTGTCCTCTGCAGTAAACTGACCTTGAGTACAGACTGCTGTGTGGTGATGTCACAAGACAAGACCTGCTTCAAGAACTACCTCAGACTGCTGCAGAAGTACCAGAAGAAGGAGGTAAGGAACACAACTTTTCATTTATTAGAATGATTAAGATGACTATTAAGAAAATTAACTTCCAAGTGATGTTTGTCAATGAATTTTTTTTCCAGTTCATTGTCCTGTACTTTTTTCCTCCAGATTTATCATTTAGTCTACTGCAGATTTTTTCAAGTGTTAATGTAAAGTTTTTCTATCTCCGAACATCGTTTCCCACAACACACCCTGAACTAACCCTGACAAATAAAGTTAATGACTCATATATGAAGCATACTGTCAAGTTGAACAATACAAACCCCGTGTTCACCAATTCATATCACTTGTATCAATAAGGGCCTTTTGTTGCATAATTTATCATTTGGTTTGTTGTGCAGTATTGTCTCTGTGGTACCTAAAGACATGACAATTCCCAGAAATGATTTGACACTGTTTTTCTTCATGCTTTACTGGACAATAGAAAGCAAAGGTATTTCAAATTTATCCAGCAGTCTTGTTTATTTTATTCTACAATGTTTCAAGGACACAGTTCCTGAACACATTGATTGTGTTAAACTTACATTGCAGTCATTGCTTTTCTTTCTTTTTTCTTGAGAACAAGTTGTACTTGATCTAAACCATCCTGTCGGTGTTAACAGCTGTTTATGTTTGTTCCCGTTGCCATGCCAACAGGACCTCGTAGTGCGAGTGTTGTTTATCCTGGGTAATCTGTCGGCAAAATCAGAGGAGGCACGACTGGCTCTGTTCCACCAACATGGCTGCATGGAGACACTACTGGGTGTGCTCAGTACATTCCTGGACATGGATATAAAGGTATGACTGAAGGAGGTAATGTTATATTCGGGGGATGACATAATGTATTCCTATTGAGAATACTAGTACTCAAAGCTGGGAGACAATACATTGTACCTCATTTTCTCGATCTATGCAAAAATGTCTGGATACCTGTGCACGTCTTTCAAGTCTTTCATGTTAGTCTTATATATCTCAGTCACTATGTCTGAATCATGCAGAAGCCGGTCTAGATTCCTCTAAGACACATGCCTAACATAAAGACATTTCTTCCCTTCCAGGCGACAAGTGAAGACGGAAAAGTTGTGGATGGGGAGTGTAAAACTGGACCAAGTAAAACTGAAGATGTCATGATTAAGGTATGGTCTTGATGATTTTTTTCACGAATACAAAGTACATTCCAACACTGTCTTAAGTTTATCTTTATTTTCCTTTTATATCAGTACATTCAAATCCCTTGTTGTGGAGACTTTCAATGGAATGGTTCTGGTTAATTTGGATATTGGACAGTTTTGTTATTTGTCCATCCAACTATTTTCTTGTCTGATTAATCTGATAATAAGATTATTAATAAAAGAACAAAATAAATTACCTCCAAGTCATTGTTCCCTAACATGCCCTGTTCCTGTTCACCCCCGTCCCCAGCTGATCAGAGTGATAGCTAACATGTCCATCCACCCTGACGTGGGCGCCGCCATCGCTGAGAACAACAAACTGGTCGACCTTCTGCTGCAGATATTAGGTACACGACCTTGAAATGTTTGTTTAAAGGTCATTCTTATGGGGATTCCTGGGTTAATCTATGTCTTAAGGGTTACTTTTAGCAAGATTTTAGTGTTTTGTAGAAATTATGTTCAATATACAGATTTGAAATACCGGTAGACATTGGAGATTAAAGATCACAACATCAGTAGACATGCAGGCAAGCAAGTGAACAATGTCAGTTGTTACGTCGGTGAACATTAGACATCCAGATATGCAAAAAAAAAAAACTCTTGAAGTAACTGCATATGATTTTAGAAACGTTCAGTTGTTTTAGAATAAACTGCATAGAAATGATAAATTGTTGAAGTATTACATGCTTTTGAAATTCTATTAGTAGTAGCCATATGCAATAAAGAAAGAAACAACAACAACCAATAAGTCTTTAATTTTCTTTGTTTGACAGGAAATAAAAGCATTGCCAGATGTGAGGAGCTGGTGCTGAATATTGTTGCCACCATCAACAACCTGTCCTACTACCCCAGCAAGAACAGCGCAATCGAACAGAAACAAGTGCAGATAGCTGAGAGTAAGGAAAACATTTGTGTTGTGTTTCTTGTATTCCTACAACCATTGTAGCAATGTATTTCTTTGTACATATTGTTTCTACAACAAATAAAGCTAGGTGGCATGACACACACTCACTGTAATGTGACAGATCCACAATATTTTTTTTTCCTAACCCTATCCCAGACCTATCAAACACTAATGATTTATCTAAAATTTAGAAGGCGGAAGTTTTTTGTTTTCCATTGAAGCTCTAAAAATGGGAAATGAAAAAGAAGAATGTTTTTGTTACAGGAATGTTGAGCATGTTGATGACAGACAACATGGAGGGAATTGTGGAGGCCTCGCGTGTGTACGGGAACCTGACAAGGTCAGCGGAGGTCAGGGACTACCTGGGCAGGAAGAAAGGTGAGTATAGGGGAGGGGGAGTGACCTTGAGGAGAGGGGGTGACATTGACGAGTTAGGGAAGGGGCCAACCCCCTGTGTTGAGAAGGGATATGACCTTGTGTATTGGGAAAGGTCTTCTGAGCAAGCCAGGGATGACCTTTTGTGTTGATGAGGTGAGTGACCTTGCATATCTAACCTTGAATTTAACTCAACTCAAATTCAAAGACCAATGTACCATGAAGACACAGGTAAGTTGATCATTGATATTGTATCAAAAGTTAATGTAAGAGGACCAGGGAAGGATAAAAAAACAAAGTTAACACGTCTCGATCTCTTTGTTGCCTAGTTGATGCCATCATGGTGACCTTGCTGGACTCCGGCAGTCGGGAGGTCGTCTTCACGTCCTGCGGCGTTCTTATCAACCTGATGGTGGACGAGAAGCGCAGACCGACACTCAAGGAGGAGGGCGGAGTCAAGAAGTAAGATGTTTTCTTGTGACATTAAAATTCTTAGTGTAACAGTGGGGTTCAAGTGCCGCTAACTGACCTATTCCAATGGGTTCGGACCTTTTTGAGTTAGCGTGCTGGTGCTGTAAGCTGGCTGCCCGGGTGTGGTGCAGGTTTGATTCCCGGCGTCCTGGGAGTCAGGGGCTTTCCTGTTTCTACTCGCTCGTACTGTTTTTTTACCGGTTACACTACCACAGAAGGCACACTTTATTGAGGAATCAATTGCTTTTTGTCATGTCACAACAGGTGGCTGCTACTGCAGTGATGGCAAGCAGCTGCAAGGGGGCATTGCAGTCATGTACCCAGAAATCTGCCAAACGGCTGAGCAGATTCTCACAGGCCTCATGCTAACAAATTTGTTCAAACAACCAGGCAAAGATGTTTACAAACATAGACCTTTACCCATTGTTTTTATTAGGCTGTTTTTATTAGGTATTTTGCAGGATTTTGGTTAGACAAGACAAGGATCTTGACTACATGGTGTGCCAGATGTTTATTGTTGATGTTTATCGTTGTTGTTTCTTTGTTTGTTGTTTAGGTTGATAGATGTCCTGCGTGATTTTGGGCGTACAGACTGGGAGCTGGCCTCCATGGTGTGCCAGACGTTGTGGAACTACAGTGAGAAAATCACATCTTCCATCGACTGCTTTGGTGAGGAGGAGACCAACCAGCTGATTGAACTTCTTTTGGAGTTTCTAGGTGAGGTTTTTCTTGTGTGAGTACTTTGTTCAGGGGTAATGGAGGTGTGGTGAGCTGTGTCTGGTTCTCTGAATCTGTAAGTGTATAGTCAGCCACTATAGACACCATTCTGTGTATCCCATCAACATGTGGTGTCAGCTAGTTACTAGTATGTCACACTGAATAACTTGTTATACCAAAGTCCTGCATGTCCAACAACAGATGTTTTATTCCTAATTCATAGGACCATACCATACCATACTTTATGATTATAATATCATACACTGATGGAGGTTAGAAATCCAAACACTCATAGACAATTCAAACTCTACCACTGGATGAAATTGGTGATTTTACCTACTATCCTAACTGGTCTAAAAAGATTCATTCTTTAACCTTTTGCCCAATCTTTCCCCCAATCTTTGCTGACCTGTGCTGTTTGGCTGTTACAGAGGAGGATGTAGTGATGAGTGTACCAGAGGCATCAGACTGGGACAGAGAGATGAGGGAGTACATGCAGTCTGTATGGAGGGACAGGTTCTGCCCTGTAGCCACCCAGCTGCTCGACAGGGTTGACTCACACCACACCGACCTTGAACCTTTGGAACCTCCCAGCGACAGTTGATGTCCCTGCCCCCCTCCCACATCGACCTTGAACCACCGAGCGACAGTTGATGTCTCTGCCCCCCCCTCCCACATCGACCTTGAATCTCTGGAACCACTGAGTGACAGTTGAGGTGCCTGCCCCCCTCCCACAGTGACCGTGAATCTCTGTAACTACCAAGTGACAGATGGTGTTCCTAACCCCCTCCCATACTGACCTTGAACCTCTGGAACCACCAAGCGACAGTTGATGCCTCTGCCCCCCTCCCACTGTGACCTTGAACCTCTGGAACCACCAAGTGACAGTTGATGCCTCTACCCCCTTCCACATTGACCTTGAACCTCTGAGCGACAGCTGATGTGCCTGCCCCCCTCCCACAGTAACCTTAAGGGGGCACACCCCAGTTTATTTGGCGTTTCTATTCGAAGCTGCACACCCTCAAATCTAGCGACCGTCTCTGCCGTGGAGTAGTTCGGAAGGAGAATAACTGTATATGGGACGAAAGGATATCCCTTCAGCTACAAGACCAGCTGAGTTTGGTTTCTTCAACCTTTTTAAGTTTTGTAAAATCAACGGAAAAAACATTATTTTCACTCCAAAATTAATGCACAAAATTGCGAATTTTCACGTAGGATAATCCCATAGAAAAAAATTTTCCGGCAGAAATGACTGATGCTGGCAGAAAGACCCAAACCTCGACTATACCCGAGTAAATTATAAAGAAAATTCTAGCACTGTAATTTTTTTAATCGTCCACAGCGCGAGGGGTTGCAAATCCGCTACTAGGAAGGCGCAGAGCGAAATCTAGGTCAAACGGGCGGATTACACTTGGCGCGCAAGGATACCCGGAAGTAAGGTTCGGAGCCAGAAGAAATTTTTACCCCAAAATCACCATTTCTTACACTCTTCAGCCATGTTAATGTTTAATGATATTTCGTGGCAGTTTATGAGAAATGTCACCTCAAAGTCGGACCCTCAAAACCCTTTCGTCACTTTTTTGCCACGGACTATCGTGGACCCCTGTCGCGGAAGAACTGGTGTGTGCACCGTTGAACCTCTGGAACCACTGAGTGAGACGGGAGGGGGAAAAGACCTCCCACACTGTCGTTGATCATCTGCAGCTAGGTAGTGACAGCTGATGCCCTTGCAACTGTTGCAGATGTAGTGGTCTTTCCTGACCACTTGTGTATGTCCTCAGATGGCCCATTGGAAGCTGCTGTGACTCTGTAGTTGTTAAAGGCCAAGGCACCTTGAGTTGAAGCACCAATACGTGTCATTCCATGTATGCTGTTCACTGTAGTATGAGTTTTTGCACTTCTGAGACATTTCCAGTAAGTTTTTGCTGCTTTTCCTTACATGTGTAAGGGTTGTGACATTTGCTTGGATGAGCTGTCTTTTGCCTTGTTGCATGGCACAGCCCTGAAGCCCAAATTCTGAACCACCGCCATCCTTTTTTTACTGCTGCATAGTATTTTGCAATATTTTCTAGAGGTTTGCAAAAGCAAGATTTGTTTCTGCAATTCCTGTACTGTTGTGATGTGAGCTGACTCAAGGGTTAGCTTGAAAATAAAAGACGAAGAAAGTGGAAGTGCTACTACTACATGTAGTAGTTTTTGAAGCCAGAATCGGAAAATGTGAAATATAGTACAGTCTCTTATTGATTATTTGATAAAGAAATATTGAGTGAACAATGCTATTATTTGTGGACTGACATATGGGCACTTGTATGTGTTTTGTTGAAAAGAATTTGATACTCAGAAAGAGTGCATAAAATGTACAGATTTGCAAGGCAGGGTTTATTTTTGTGTGTAATAGAGCTGTGTAGATCACAAGTTTGGGTGCCACGTACCGAGAATCAGTGTTATAAAATAGGATCTGTAGCTGGTCAAGAAAAAAAATGTTTTTCTACTGGTGACTGATCCATAGCTATAGATTTTCCGTTTTGTATGGATGATTTATTTAGACACTTGTGATAATGACACAAGTCATGAAGAATCTGAATTACCTACTCAGTAGCATTCCACCTGTAGGTTTTAACTGATAGAAAAAGTACTTTGATTTTAGCACCAATTTCAGAGCTATTGCTGTTGTTTTCCTGTGTAAAAAAAGTGACTGCTGTACATTTTGGGTGTAAATATTGGTGTAAATGAAGTGAATGTAACAGAATATTTGAACTCCACCCACAGAGAATTTTGCTGTGTGACAATGTAATTGAGGTGATTTATCTGTTGAATAATTCTGCAGAAATAAGTTTTGTCTTTTCATTTTTCTTCCAAACCAAGATATGTGACAGAAGTTTGAGCTTGACCAGAATATTAGTTAAGTCTCAATCTTTCGGTAATTTCCACCTTAAAAATAAAGGAGCCTCTCGCATCAATAAGTTGATTCTCTGGCAAAAATAATGTGTCCAAGCTAACTGGACCAAGGAAGGCACTCTTTGCTACCAGAAGGTTAAAAATCAACGTACAAGTAAAATTCAAATTTTCTTTATCTTCTAAAGTAAAAGAGATGAGATACAATAGGACAAATTATTCATCACTTTTAATACCTATAAAAGATTGCACAATAATCTATATTACAATTAAATAAATTGAATAAGACATTCAGGTATCTTACAATAATTTTGTGTCCGACTTCTATGTCTGAATTATATGTATACGATCAGTCTTTCTTAACTGCATACTTTAATCTCAGTTTTCTGCACTAGGCTATCCAGGAATTTGGCACGTTTTCTGTCTAAGTGTTGTAGGAACTCCCGAACTCTCTGGTCCCTCTCTGTCTCCTGTTTCCGTACGAGCGTCGGCAGGCTGGCCCACTTTGATTGGTCGGTTTTGTCGGGGTCCTCCTGTTGTAGTTCGGCGACCGCACTGTCGTAGTCGGCCTGTCGTAGCGCCTGTTCTCGCTCCTGGTTGTGTTGGTCCCGTGCTCTCTGGAGGGGAGGGGGGATGGTAGTATGGAAACGCAATCAATCAAGACTTTCCCTAGGTTCTGTATTTCTAGTAACAAGATTCTAAACTTTTACATCATATTGATCACGTATAGAATTACACCATAGTACAAACTCAAGACACTACACATTTCTAGTGTTCTTTCTAAAGCTACCAGAGTTGTGTTAGTGTGTTACTGACCATGATAGCCTGGTGGTTCTTCTGGTAGTGCAGCACTGCTGCACACAGGTGCCAGAAGGAGAACTCGGGCCACAGGACCTCCATAAACGACAACACTGAGAAGGAACTCTGTACAGAGACAAATGGTTAAAAGTCAATTTTTAACCTCCTTGGAGTCTTATCATTTTTTAATGTAGAAGTTGTTAGTATAGTCAGGATGCATGGTGTATAGGGGAAGGGGGCGCTACGGAAAAAAAGTGTTCGGGAGGAGATGAGTTTGCAAGAAGGTCTTAAAAAATCTTGCGAATATAAATGCACTTACAGTAATTTGTATGAGGGGCTGGAGACAGACTGTTGATTGAAACCTCAGCCTACACTATGGCCCTCTGCTCACTCTATGGCCAGACGAGATGTGTGTATGAGACACTGCCCAGCAACACGCTGGCCACGCCTCACAACCCTGACCGTGAGATCATGTTGGGATAGGCACGTAGAGCCCACACACATTCTCTTAGCCAAACATCCATTGGTGAAACTTATCTACATCATATCAACAATTAAACTTGGGACTTTCTTCTGTGCCATGCAGACTTGAAAATGACACCAATATATTTGTGTCATTGTTATCTCCGTTATTTACCCAGTTATCTCTGTTATATATGCAGTAGTAGAGTTTGAATTGTCCTCGAATATTGTTTTACCTGGATGTCTAATCTTGATCAATGTGATACTAACATATGCATACTTAACCTTCTCCCTGCTGTCTAACCCCATAAACAATGAAAATTAATTGCCAAAGGGCTACTTCAGTATGCTAAATGTTAAACTATCAAACACAAATAAACTGTAACTGGAGAAGCTGATGATCTGACCTGCCATAGGAGGAAGTCGCTGAGTCTGACCTCTCCGGACGTCCTGACCAGGAGGTGAGGGTCGGGGGAGTGGCTGGTGTACAGGCAGCGGTCAAGCAACGATTCCGAAATGTCACTGCAGCACGACAAAGGAGAGGAATGTATTTACAGTTTAGTTTTAGCTCACAGGACAATGATTCCCACAAGTCAAGACTACAGTCTGTCACCTTCCTCAGGGCAATTCTGACTGGTTGACATTGCACAGCACAGGTGTCACTGCTATAGATTTGCCCTGAGGAAGGTGACAGACAGTAAAAAGAGTCTCTTTACTCAGTGACTTACCAACCCGATAACTATTCATGGAAGAAAGACAGACAGAATGTACATAGGTTCAACATACCATGCTGAGGGAAAGTCCTTGGTCTTTTTGATAATACAATGTTAACTAATAAGTTACACCAACCGATCAGTTCAGAATTTCATATCTTTGAGACTCTAACCCTTACCAATGGTGTGCAACTGGGGTAAGCAACAACAGCTGGGATTTTAACTACAGATGTGCTGAAGCAACAACAACTTGGATTTGACCTCTTAACCTTCAGTTCAGGTACAGAAGAAGGGACACTACAGCCTACCTGGGTCTGATGAGTCCCTTCTCCACCCCTTCTGCCATCTCCTCCACCGCGTTACTGATCTCGTGTCGGGAGGTGTACGCAAAACACACGTTCAGGAACGCTCTGGGAGGGGGATAGGTAACATGAAGGCACTGATTGTTACAATAGCCCAAGGATGGAGACAATACAAAAATCCTGATCAAAAACTCTCAAAAGCAGTGACTTCTTTGTTTTTGAGTTAACACATTATTATTTTCAAGTAACGATCAAGATATTAACAAAACAATAGATTTCAGAACTTTCTACAACTGTTTTAAATTTTCTTTAAAAAATCTTACATACAATGAAAGTCTTAAAGTTTAACAAAATACACTGCTAGGTTTTCGCTGTGTTTCAACTTTGCAATTCAGTGTTACAGTACTAAATTCAAATGGAAAATCATTTTGTGTTGACTTGTCACTTGGCTTTCTGTAGAGGAGAGGTCATCATTAAAACTGTGAAGCAGTTCAGTACAGTAAGAGTTACAGTTAGTATAATCTGTTGGCTCAGACTTACTTGTCGTTGTCCTTTGACATCCTCATGGCCTCTGCTATGGAGCGCTGGATGTCCAGTGGCAGTAGTGTCAGGTTCCCCAGCACACGGATGCACACACCATGCTTCATGATGGCTTCTCTGGTGGAAACAATACTAGTAGTTAGCAACATTCATAGGTCATTTGAGGATATACTCTGACCAGGTACATGATTTCAGACATGACAATCTTATTTCTAACACAAGAAACAACAAGATGCCCCAACTGTTTTGAATGACAGACTTGACTTTGATGGTTGCAATATACTAGTACTAGTAGCAACAAGTAGCTCTACATGCAATGGCAAGTAGCTCCACAAGCAAATTATGTGACCACACATACAAGTCCAGCTCCCTTTTGGCTCCAGACCAATTTAAGGTTTAAATCTTTGACGCCCAAACTACAGTACTGTACTACCATATTATAGAAGAACATGATTCTACCAGTAGACATAGAACAGATTTAAATCCTTACTTACTTCTCTTCTAAAAGTCTTGCAAACTTCTGCCTGGCAATCTCCATGAGGGACTCCACCTCCTCCTTGGAGCGTTTGAAGTTCTCGATACTGAATGCGTACACGGTCACCTCATTGATCCCCAGGTCTCTGCACCACTTCAATGTCTGAAAACAAAATAAATGCTGCATTATAGTTCATATTAAACTACATTTGGATGGACAGCCTCAGAACTGCAAAAATAGCTGCTAACTGGAAACCAGAAGGAAACAGCCCCAGTGGAGACCAAAGACCACACTTGGAAAGTTCAAACACAGTGTTGAAGGACCCAAGCAATAAAAGAAATGGAAGTATCAGCAGAAAACTCTGGAAGATCACTGTTTGGAAACCAATACAGCACGAGTTGTGGGAGGAGCCAAGGTGAGGTAAACTACATTTTGTAAATACTAACTTCAGTTTATTTTTGTACTCAAACCGGCTAAAACGATTATAGAGGTCAACTGAGGACACTGGCAGTGCCTGGCACAGCTAAGGATAACAGGTGCTGTGACAACGGGATTTCCATATTCATGATCACAGTGGAATTAGCCTATACAAATGTATGGCAGCCAATCTTGTGATTGTAATGGAAATCAAGACCAAGCACTGAAGGGACCTAACTTCTTTTGTTTACATGGGGCTTTAAACTTGATCATTCACCATAAACTAATTGGAACTTGTGAAATAGCATAGAGCTTGTTATCGCCAAATACCACAAAAGACCTCTCTCTATCTTCTTGAATGATTCTACACAAACCCTTTCAAAGCAGCTGCCACAGTGTGCCTTTCTGAAGCAAGTACATGTACATGTATGTTACACTGAAGGTTTGTTTAGGCAGAGAGGCTGATGAATTAAGTAGATTAACTGGAACACAAAGGACTACAAGGGTTCATAATCTCTTCAGATATACTGTATGTACTAGGCTTCACAGTTTCTAATATGTCTGCATCATTCTGTAGTCATACATGTGACGTTATGCTTATGGTTTTTTTAGAAATTGGTAGGGACTGTCCATTTGTTTTAGCAGATCAAGGAACAAAAGAAAATTCAACTGTATTTATTTATTTCCATCAGGCATATGGAACATGGCCCATATCCAACAAATGGTGAATCAGATACAGTATATGAAAATACACAGACTCTGCAATCTCCTACATATACTGCATTCTACAAAATGATAACTGCATTACACATGATACAGGGTACAAACTACAACAAGGCAGTAAGTGGTTGGGCCCACAATATGCATCGGCAGTGTTTCCGCCAGAGGGCCGTCCACCCGTCATATGACGGCCTGGTGTCGTTTTGGACGGCCTGAACTCGGACAGAGGCCGTCCTCTTAAAAAATTTCGAGACTCGGAAAAATCAGAGAAATTGACAGTCTATGTTTTGTTGCTGTAGACGAGGACGCCGTCCAAGGCAAGAAAGACACGCGTTGTTTGTTTTGCTATAATTTGTTATCATGCTGACGAACAATTGATGTCGGCGCCTTTCGCATACGTTAATCTCATTAAAACCCGTCTTTCAAGTCTCCATCCGGTAAAATGTATCCACAAACATTTTTTCCTCGAACAGAATCATTTCGGATGTGAAAATTCTCTTTTGGGAGTTACGTTTTTGATGGTCTTGTAGCGGGCGGGTTGCATGAAAATCCACGCCGCAGTTCGCTATCCACGCCGTGGTTCGCTAACACTTCCGGCTTGCTTGAATACGCGAAAGGCACCACAAATCGGCATATGGATGCATACATTTTCCCAAAAATTCTTCATAATGAATTTCTTTAATTGAATGTTACTAATTAGCGGTAGAAACACCGTAGAAAGTAGCGTAGTGTAACTCTCTTCGCCAACAAACAAATTCTACAGCTATGCCGGCAAAGATGGGTCTATCCAATCAGAGCGCAGGTTATATGAGGTCAACCAATCAGAGCGTAGAG